GATATTGATAATATATATATATATATATATATATATATATACATACATGCATGCACGTAGCAATATATCCGTAGCGAGCTAATATCACCAATAAATGGCCCAAGCTGATTTGTCAGTCAGGCTCTAGTTGCCATGGCCACTGGCTTTAAAATCTACCCAGGACCAGAAAGGATACCACTGAAGATTACCACGCATGATCCTCACGTTTCTGGAAAAAAAAAGAACAAAAGTCAAGAAGCTGCAATCCATTATTTGCCCCTCTGCTGGTCAGAGAGTGGGGAGCCTGTAGTTAATTTACCAAGCCATTTCTCACATGCCATGATGTTCTTTACTGTGACCACGCAAATAGAGACTGAGTGAATTTTATTATGAAATACAATTAGTAAAACAGTTATCAAGAGGTTACAGAGCAGCAGTGCAAATCCTAACCTCTGTTGAAAAACGTGTTGGATGACATATTTCCATATTGACTTCCCGTTCCCAACACAGAGCCTGGAAAACAAATGATCAGCATTAGTTCACTGCTGCACTCCATTAACGCTAGCAGTAAGGACCTCTACCTTTAAACATCAACTGTGGTAGTAGGGAAGGTATAGACAAACGGATACCCACGTTTTAAAATAGCTGTCACTTGGCAAGCTATCCGGAGGCAGATTGAACTCCTCTGATGCCCAACGTTTCAGGTCCTGCACAAGATTTCTGTCCGCCATCCTGACAGATAACTTGTAGAGAGTTAACCTAGATAACGTTAGCAATACCAACAATTGCTAATGCTAGCAAATATTTTTGTCTGCTAGCGAAGTTTGCGTAAATCGTTGACCGCATTTAGCGGATTGCAGTCATATAACTTACTCTGCTAGTGTGAAAGATGTGTTTTTCCTTTAGTACACGTAGGCAAACTAAGTTGTGATATATAGATTTCCATAACGTAAAATTCTCTAACTTTCAATTTCCCGCCCGCTCACGGCACTTCCTGTAATAATAACAGCTGGTTTAAGTCGAATGCGGGTTTTATTAATCTTCTTCTTCTACTCTTATGTTTTCTGGCAGTTGGCATAGTAATGTTGCACTACTGCCATCTTGTGTCCGTAGTCTGAGTCACTGTTCCATTATCCTAAATTTTGTTTGTCCTGTTACTCTCAAGAAATCTAGTAACCATCTTCTTCCTCTTCGACTCCTTCCGAATTCCACTATACTTTTTAAACTTTTATCTACTAACCCCATTTCCTAAAACTGAGTAAACATATCTACCCTTTCCCCTGAATACCTCCTGCATGAAATAATGACATGATTTATTGCTAACACAAATATATTCAGTTGCCAGTGCATTAGCTACACCTGGCTAAAATGGTTTTGTCAAAAAGGTGTTTCAGTTATTTAGCCTAGCCTCTAAAATATAAAGTGGATCAATGAGCACCTCTAAAACACTTCATGACACTTCACAACATCCTTCATGACAGGACTTATTGCACTACTGATGTATCAAACTACATTACTTTCAGCTAGGTGTACCTAATAATATGGCAACTGGAAGTATGTAATGCATTAGTTAATTCAACTTTATTTTTCATATTCTACATCCACAGTGATCCTTTTTATGTTGTATCTACACACTGTCTCATTGGCATAAATAAATCAAAAATTGACCACAGAAGCTGTGAATAGTCAATTAAACAACATGACACTGAATTGTTTGCTTGTTAAATTGCTGACAACATATTTTTCATATTGATTTGCACATACTATATACACTCATAATTTTCAAGTTGTAATTTTTTCATGCTGTAATAAGACAGTAAAGTCCAAAAGATAAATGGTAATGCCTTTTATTTCTTCCTTTACTACAAAGAGTCAACCATGTAGTAGATGTCTACATGCACAGCATTAGACTTTTTTGTCCACAGGCAGGAAAACTGTATTATTTCAGCCAACCACTCATCAACCTTAGAATTATAAAGATCATAGTAAAAACATTCCACATACAGTATAGGCCTTAGTGGGAGATTACATGTTTTTTTAAGTTTTAGTCATAGTATGTAATGGCATTTTCCTCAACTCAGTCTCCATTTCTCCATAACAGATGATTTTCTATTTATTCTCTCAGTGCTTTTTAACATTCATAGATATTCATATAACAAGTGCATTAAATAAATTTGACCTGAGTTAAACAAAAACTAAACATGTTCTCTCCACATTTCAGAGTCAACAACAATGAAAATGGTATCACAATATATTTAAGTACTGTTTATGATTTCTTCTTATGAACACAAATTGAATGGAAATCAACCAACTTGTACATTTTTAAAAAGTAAAAAAAAAAAAAAAAAAAAAAAAAAAAAAATCAATCCCCAGATGTATTCATATTGAGAGCATACAAGTGACGAATCGTTTCCCAATTAACTGTCAGCACGGGAAAAATCTTTTGCTGTTCTCACAGCTGTTTCCTTTGTGAAAAAAATACTACATGATGCCTGATAAAACAACAGAAAAATAAATGGTAACAGTAATGTAATGTCATTTGTATGTTTTTAGCACCGTGTTTACGAGCTGTTCAGTGATGACACCAGGATCCACTACAGGTTTTTTTTAATTTTACATTGGGTTAAAGTTATCGTATCCTGGTGAAGAGATTTAAAACTGATACAGATTCCTGAAACATGAGACAAAGAAACTTGATTAATTACTTTTTTTGGTTAATATGAGTGGGTTTGTAATGACAGAAACCACTTTCCAAAAACTGTTTCTTACCTTTGTTGAGCGTGTTTTACTGAATACATTCCAGAAGCGTAGAGTCTCATCTCCAGCTCCTGTCACTATCGCCTCACCATCTGGGGACATGGCCTAGTATTTAAAAAGAACGGAAATCTAATTTATGAATCTGCCACATGTGCTAGCAATTATGACCAGCTTTTCCATTAACATGACCAATGGCAAGATCTCATTCTCATCAGAAAGTAAACACATACTGTACTTACCAGGTAGAGGACTCTGTAGGAGTGTCCTGTGAGCTTGGCCACCTGAGTGAGAGCTGGATATTTCCAGACCAAGATTTGGTTCTGAGAGTAGCCATGGGTGCTTACCTGGAAAGAGAGACAACATTATAATTCAAACAGGCCTTTGGGTAATTCACTATGAATAAATTATACCAAGCTGAGTGAGACACATTTAATGCATATAACTGAAAATAAACAAGACCATTTTCTCAGTGATGGTCTTGTTTGTCGACAGACAGTTGTATTACTCTTACTCTATATGTTTTCCTAATTAACAGAAAGAGAAGCTACCAGTGGTCTAACCATGGTTTACTGAAAAATGCCAATGAATTACAATTAAGATGAATATACAATGCTTTTGTGTTGACTCCCTTGGACTTGTTTGCTTGATGTTTTAAACACTAAATAACAGTGAATGTAGGTTTAGGGAATTGAATGTATGAGTGAATTAGGCCAATTAACAGATAGAGACTAATGTGAAAGAGACATTTTTGTAAATTGATAAAAAAATTAAGTCAAAATGTAAAATAACTAAAAATAAACTGCCCATTTTGCTATAACCAACCTAAATCATTAAGACCAAACTGTTTAACATTAGCTGTCTTGATGCATAAAAATGTGCCATGCAGCACCTTATTGTCATTGCAAGTGTTACTACAATGATAATTGTTTTTTCATAACTTCATAGAATATAGACAGCAAATCTACTGTGCAAAGTGTGAATCTGGAGTCACTCACCAGCTCATTAGCATGTTTGGACCAGGCCAGGTTGCAGACCTGAGAGCCGGAGTCCATACACTGCAGCGGCTGCGATGTAAGGGTGTTCCAAAATCGAATACAACGGTCAGCAGTGCCACCTCCAGAGGCCAGCAGGCCATGCTGGTGAGGGGACCAGGCAATGGCTTTAACTGCAGCCAGGTGATCTACGTATGTCTGCACCGGGCTCTGCGAGGAGTGGTTCCAAACCAGCAGCTGAGACAACAAATCAAACCCTTATCAGTGAGTACGGTGAGTAAATGCACAAAGACAGAGGCAGATTTAATAAAAACAACTATACCTTGTTGTCGTTCCCACCGGATGCAAGCAGCTGATGGTCAGTGCTCCACTTCAAGCCACACACTTCCTGTCTGTGTCCCTGCAGCTGCCTCTCTGACTGCAGTGGAGGTGTCCTCACATCTCTTTGAAGAATCATACGATCGCGGCTTCCTGAAGACAACTGGTCGGCATTTCATGTTTTTTTAACAGGATAGTTTAATGCATACTCATCTCTTCTTTTTTTTTTACATTCAAGAATGCCAAACCTTGAACTGCGCTTCGTTTTCAGTTCATCTTGATCATTCCTGTTAAGTCACTACAACCCTCAGAGGTTTAACACAGCACATGTTCTCACCAACTCTGGCTGTGTGTCCTTCCAAGGCAAAGAGTTTTTTCCCAGCACCAGCATCCCAGATCTGAACATAACCTTTATGAGTCCCCACTGCCACCAGGTTACCCTAAAAATATGAAGAATTTTCTAACTAACAAACAGTGCCTCAACAGAAAATCCACCCCATTCGATATGCAGTAAACTATCATCTATCATGCACTTACCCTCTCAGACCAGCCAACTGATGTGACCGAGTCTCCCTCCACTGACAGATCACACAACCTTGTTACCTGAGGAAAAGAAAGTTCAGGAATCAATTCATTGACCTTACTTCCTAGAAACATCAAACATAAATACATAAACAGTTTGAAAGCTATGTTCTCTCACTTCAAAATCCACAAAAACTGTATATGCACACAGACTACAATACCTGACTTGTGCAGGCACTCCACAAGTAAACACAAGTACCCAGACCGACACTGAGCACATTGAGAGAAGACCAGTCCACCAAGTTGAGATAAAAATCATCCTGAAGCTCTGGAGCATCAAGAACTTTAAAGGGAATTTTTGAGATCTTGCGAGTTGGCTTTCTCGGTGAACGCAACAATTTCTGACTGCAACAGGAAAAATTGGACATTATGAAACCCTGATGCAAACTGTACAGTTTCTTTGCAATCCCATTTATAAAAAATTGCCCCCACATTGACAAAGAACAAGAATTTGTAGTGTCTTTACTTTGTCAGTGCGCAAGTGGGTTCTTTTTATGAATGGGACTGTTGTTCTTCACCAGAAACCACAAACCTGGTAACGATTCTTGAGGTCTAAAACTCTTACAAAAATACTTCTACCTTTTGTTGCTGACAGGTGATAGAGAGTAGGGGGAGATGTTGCTGTCATTCTCTGGAGACGACCTTTGGGTATTGACTAAATACTGTGAAGAACATAGGCAGAAAACATCACAATCTCTACCAGCCTTATTAAAATAGCACAAACCACTGAAGAAAAACTACACTGAGTAAATAATGTTCTGCTCTTAATTTCTGTTCTCCTGCTAAGGATTTCAAGAGCATGTTGTGAGTCTCTTCTGACATTGTGTGAGTATTTCATGAAATGTTCATACAGTGAAGAGACTCCTCTTCTCAGGGGTGGATGGCTGTAGATGCCTGTCCTCAGTCTGGGGGTCCTGGATCTTTTCTATTCCTGCTCCCAGCAACTCATTCTTCAGCAAAGCAGAATAGGCAAGCCCGTCTACTACATGCAAAAAAGTATAACTGATACACAAGTATGACAATGTGGTCCTAATTGAACATAATCTAGTAACAGAATTTCCAAAATAGGACCCCAAACTTTTATTTACCTTTGATATTATCAGAAGAGGCATCCTTTGGTTTTTTGTTATGACTTGGTGACTTCTCATTTTCCTAATTAAAAATAACAAAGATACTGTCATCGATTTAAAATAAACTTCTCTCAGACAGAACTCACACATTCATAATGTAAAAAACTTCACCCACACACACTGTTATATGTAAAATGTTCTAATACATATGAATAACATTTTTGTCTTACAAAAGCACAGACACACTCCAGAACAAACTCATGCACAACTTCATACACTGATCCTGTGGAAGGTGATATTCCAGTTGGCCCCAGCTCTGGTTGGAATGAATCTGTCTCCAAGCTTACTGGGTGAAGACAATGGGGAACCAGTGGAAGTCCAACTCTGAGTCATTTTCTGCAAAAAAGCACAAAATTCTATTTAAATTTGGTCACTTTTTTGGTCAGTTTTATTACACATTATCAAAATTAAGTTCAATGTATGTGTGCAACAAAACAACAAATAGTGAGAAAGACTCACAACAGGACTCAAGTTGTCATTTTGAATGTTAATTTGGCGGAAGAGGCGATGTTCATATTCTGGATCCATCCTCATTCAGATCCCCAGGCCGCAGGCTGGGACTGTGAAGAGCTAATAAATACAAGAAAGAAAGAAAGAAAGAATTAATTTAAACATCTGCTAAAAGGCAGCCAATGGAGGATTGTGGGGTCACTGCTGGGGTCTGTGCTATATTGTTTGATTTGCACACATGTGTACAGCTCTAAAGTCTGGTATCACAGAATAACTAATATTATATGCCATAATATGCTGTGAATGGTTATGAGGTGTATAGCCCGTCAAATATTGTATATGATCGTTAAGTACATGTACTATATACACATATTTTGCTTACATACACAGACATGGGGCCTAAAAATATGTGCACATACTTTATGTGTTTTGTTTGTTCCTCATTATATGTCCAAAACACTTCTACACTTTTGCTGCATTATTTGCATCCAAACGTTGCTGCTTAGTATTGTGGAGCATTTATAATGAAGGATTAGAAAGTTAGCAAAAGATTATGTAATAGCCGACCAATCTGATTCAAATCTATAAAATAATGTTTGGAACAACAGACTTGAATAAAACTAGTTGGTTAATGTTACTGTAAACTCGGAGTGTGTAATGTAACAGATTCACTTATGGCATGTCTAACTTTCAACAAAACTACCACTAGCTGAGATCAACACAAAACATTGCGAAAAGCCTTATAATATCACTACATTGGCATGTTCACCATCAGTTATGTTGGTAAGTTGCCAAAAAGGAAAAGCTAGCGAACTAGCTAATGACAGCTAGCGTTAGCCAACTTAGCTCTGAGTTAAACAAATCGTGTTTGCAAGAGACAGCATACGTACAGCAACCAGCAAGTCCTCGAAAACCCAAACACCAAACACCAGCGCCAACACCCACTAGAGGTATGAGATGAATTATGGCAATAAATATAAAGATATTCACTCTCAAATGCCATGTAACTGAGTTTCACTGAAGTAAAAATTGCACTGCATTGTGGGATTTTTGTTACCTCCGTGACGTCATTTGTGGTCTCACGTGATCTCAAATCAAAACATGGAAATGCTCACTTGTTATCTGCTTGAGTTCTGAGAAACTTTCAGGACCAGCGATTACCAAACCTGGAGTACAGGTGTCTTAATACGTATCTGCACATTTCTGCATAAAAGGTTACTTTCTCATTGATCCTGTAAGCCCATATCTATGACTTAGTCTTCACTGGGATGTTATCAGATTAGAGTTGCAGTAAATTGGAGGTCACTTAACGACATAAAAAAAAATAAACAATTTCCATAAACCCAAATGCTTTAAAACCTTTTGTTTATTTATTATTTCTATGTATTTGTTTGCATTATTGTTAAATGTCATGCCCTTACCTATTTTCCACTTATTTCTATCTTTTGTTTATAATATTCCTTCATGCTTTTATTTGTTTATTGAAACATAAATGGGAAAAAACAGGACGAGGTCCTGTCGTGGCCACGTTTCAACCGTAGGGGGCATACTAGTTCCATTTTCAAATCCCCAGATATTCTCATACTTCACTTGGTAAAAAGTCATGGCCTTACTGCAGGCCTTCACATTTAATGAACTTATTTTTACTAGTTTGCAACCCTTATCTTGCTTGCAGTGGGGCAAACATACATTTCCCTTATGCTACCTTGAGGTTTTTAGGCAAAATCCCAATATTAATCCAAGGAGGAATGAGCACACTGAATTTTAGGACCCATAATAATTATGTGAAGTAAATGAGGGATAGTGCATGAATGTGTATGAAGTGGGTTGTCTGTAACCCTGCAACTACTCACCCACTTTCTGTTCTATTCCAAGTCTATAATCTATATTGTGATTACAATCTGTATTGTACATTGTCTTTAAAAAAAATAAAATATAATAATTATTAAGCAAAAACACTGAAACTGTGATAACAGTGAAATCACAAGTAGTCTGCAAAAACCTGCAGACTTGTAATGAAATCTCTGATAATCTAATCAGATGTGAAGCCTGGTGCTGGTTCATGACAGTTCCGGTGTATTTTTAGATTTTATGGTTAGCATGTCCTTCCTCCTATTTTAGATTATACTGTAACATGATTATAAATTTATAGTGTGTGCGTGTGTGTGTGTGTGTGTGTGTGTGTGTGCAAATGTGCTCATCAAAAAACACTGCTAAATGAACTCTCCTGTCACCACCCCCTTTAATGTAGTCCTTGAAATGAACTGCTAACGACCACGTAGCTGTAACAAAAGACTCAGCACTGTGCCTTTAATGCTGGCAAGTGTAGTGATAATAATCCCACACAATGAGCACACAGAGAGCCCCCTGTGAACTTCACAGTGAGTTTTCTGGTGAGTGAGCCTATAGAAATTTACCACATCGGACACACAACATAGTTCTGCAAGTGTGAAGGAAGCTCTCCCACACACACACACTCTCTGTGTCTGTCTCTCTGTCTGTCTCTCTCACACAGACACACCCACACAACACTGGCGCCAACAACCAACCCCACCCCACCCCCCACCCCCCGCCAACTGACCTCTAATTATGTCATGCGAAAAAGCTGTGTCCCATTGAAAAGCTCTCTTAATCAAACCCAATTAATTCTGCTATTTTCCCTTATTATCCTCTGCAAGGAACGCATCTTTCTAATAAGACTGTTACCTCCAACTGTGGCCCTTTCAGATCTACTGGGGTGCAGGAGCAAAATAATAGATGGCACAATTAATCAATTAGTCATAAGGGACACAGTTGTTCTTAATGAACACAGCAACTGTGTAGCAGAGGTGAATTAGAGCTTCCTCTAAATCAGTCAGCAATGTTTAACTTTGAAGACTGGCATCTTCATTTATAATTAGACTACAAAGCAAAACATGAAAATCTGTGAACATGTTTTATGATTTTTTTATTATTAATAATTCAGAGAAACATGTTTTATGATGCTGGTGCTTTGAACACTTTTCCTACCATACCTTATGAAAGACAACACACATAGTTTAATTTTAACACTAAACATTTCATAGTTGTGTGAAGAGACAAAATGAAGTTCAGATGTAGAATAAATATCTTGTCAAGGGGACTAACATCTGTGTTCCTGTGTTACTGCCACAAGACTCTGCATCACTGCCATCTTGTGATTTATTGCTTGACATCAAGCAATATGCAGACAGATTGATGTTCTGTACAATCCAGACGTCCAGATTAGACTGGGTTATGTTCTGGATGAGCGCATATGTGATGCTGTGGAAAAATAGATGCATGAGCCAGGAGTATTAGACTGAGACAATGGTAACTAGATGTATTTGCACTCATGCATTTGTTATTACCTATGTAAATGTCAATTGTTTTAGAAAATAGGTACATTGTTTTGAAAAGTTCAGGTTCTTGGTAGGAGGTAGAAATAGAAAGCAACTTACAAAAATAGCATCTAAAGGCTTTTTCAGTCCACATTGGAATACTTTTATGGATTTGGCATAGAGAAGAACTCTCCACCAGAACTGTTTTTCATGTTGTTTTGCTGTTCTTTTTCCCATGCTTCTCTTTATGCCACTTGCTCCAGCTCAACGCATGCCTACCCTGGCCCCTAGCTGTGGCTCTAACCCCGAACAGGCCCCAGCTGAGCAGGCCCAAGCCATCCAGTAGTTGGTGTGTGTTCAGACCTGGCTCAGCCCGGCCCAGCCTGGCCTGGGTGCTAATCCCTGGGCTGTCAGAGGACCCTGCTCTGAACTCATCCTGCAACACAGGAAAATGCTCTAATTGGGGGATTTTCTACATCATTAACTTTGATGAGCAGTCACCCCACCCTCTCTCCCCTCTCACTCATCCTCTCCACTCTTACCTCCCTTTGTGTCTCTCACACTCCCACACTGTTCTCCAGCTTAATCTCTTTCTTAGTGTTTTCCTTTTTAATTTCTCCCACTCTGACTTCCTCACATCGTCCGTCTTCTTTTGTTCTTTCTTGTCCAAAGCATTTTTTCTCTTTTCCATCCACAAAATGTGCAGCTAAACTTTGAGCATATCATTAATATATGACTCCATAAGCAAAGGTCAGCACTACAGGTCTCTCTAAACTCACCTGCACACTTGTTGTAGTGATAAAAATTTAAACGCTATGTCTATGATCACTTATCAAGCCCAGACAGAAACTGCGCCCACAGAATTCCCATGAGACCTCCACAGATTTTCATCAGATTTTGAAGACAAAAAGCAACTCAGAATGTAAGCATGTGTTTGCCCCAGCCTGCATGTGTGATGTAAACCTTTTTTAGTCATTGTCAGTAATTTTCCAAGCCAAGGATGACTAACTAGTTGCACATCTCTGTCTAGCAGTTCCCCTCAGTAGCCTATGTGAACAACCCAGGTTAATGTCTATTAACAAAGATGAAAATGTACCATTATCCTAACTGCTTTAAAGCATTTTTTTTGCTTACCTATTGCTAAAAAATAATTGTTGTTAGCTAAATGAATATTTTCATGTACATTACAAGCAAAAATAAAAAAAAAATAAAAAAATCACTCCACAGTATTCCACAGATTTCCATTTTGAACAACCACAGAAAACTGACAAAGACAAACAAACAAAATCCTCAGATTCCATTTAGGCCTATCCCTGAGATTTTAGTTCAAATACAGGTTTTCTTTTGTTTTCCTTGACAGATTAAGTCACACGACTGTTTTTACTTTTGTTTCATATCAAACATCGCAGTTTGTGACTTTAAGATACTGCCAATAAATTCCAAGATCTAGGCATTGGATTTTCTGACCCAGAAAACATTCTGTTCTGAAAACTGTTCTGAATCCAGACCCTAATAAGCATTGGGATGAAAATAATGTTAGTTCCAAAGCAGAACAGAGCCATTTTAAAACATTTTCTCAAGTTGTGAAAATATTCTCAATCCCAGTTGCTGAAAATTACATAGGTTCTTGCAGAACATGTAATATATGCAGTACAAGCACTGCCATTGTTGTCAAGTATTTATTTTTGGGGAAATTAGATGCTTAACTCTGCATCTCAAATATGATGATAAATGTGGGTGTAACTAGCAACACACCACTGTTGTGTAACAACTTCAGCACAAGTAAAAAAAATAATAAAATTTCTCTGTTACTTCCTTCCTTCCCATATGGCCCTTGAAGTGAGGTACATCCTGGCCTCCATCTGTCCAATGAAGTGATTCACACACTGAAGAGGCCATCTAGCACGGCAGCCCTGGTCCCCGTGTGGACATGTGTTGCAGTGGCCGAGCCTACAGATCAGCCTGAGGGCAATTAGGGGTCCGAGCCCTGTGGTCACAGGCCCCCCTGGGAAGCCATGATTGATTGGAGTCTCATCTTCCTAACAGGCTGGTACCCTGCCACCAAAACATGCAACAGCAGAAAGGATTGGGAGGGGTAAAAAAAGAGAGAAAGAACACTTATATGAAGAGAGATAATGGAAAGGGAAGAAAAATGTCTCTGCTCATAAACGTCAGATAACAGATAACAGTTATACTGTAGTAATCTTTAGTCTTATAACACAGTGCGGGAATGAGTCAGTGCAGTGAGACAGTGGAGATACATATTCTATCAAACTATATTTATTTTCAGTAGATCGTTCTTTCCAGATAAAGACGTCAATCATCCAGACAAATTCAAAAAGAGGGAAAACAATAATATCACTAAAACAGATAGAGGCTACCATCTGTAACTACAATATATAAGAACCAAACAGCCATACAGGAAAAATATCCTGTGCATTTTCACATAAAACAGCTAAATATGTCAAACATCTAGTGCAGTTTTTCCATTATCTAACCTTTGGCTTATTCATGGTCCAAAATCACATTTGCGTAGAATCCTAAAGAAGCTCTTAATGTGCAATGTTGTCCTTATTTCCTTTGCAATGTGGCTTTGTCCAAATGGGGGGGTCTAAACATCACCAACAACATTTTAATAAACTACATGAGGACAGTTGATGAGAAGCAGATGTAACACGGCTCTTCCCTCTCTGTGCAGTACAACAATGGATTCTTAAATGAAATTACAAACATTTCTTCTTGCTGTTGTTGAAGCTGTACTTGTGACTTACTGCTAGGTCAATGTTCATGTCATGCTAAAGTAAAATATCACAACCATAAAAATGGGCAGTTGGGAGAAATTTAGCCTCCCTCTCTCTCTTTTTTAGAAAAATATTTTAAAAAATGAAATAAAAAGCATTCTGAAATTGCACTTTAAGATGAAGGACTTTGTCTTCCACTTGCTTCATAATGAAGTCAAAAAGTGTAACTTTTCTGACTGTGCATATTTTGTGAGATGCTTCCTGTTTATTCTAAAATATCTCAATAACAAATGATAATCTATTTAGCCCATATAAAACAAACTGTGGTTAGGTCTGGTCTTCTCTACCTTTATGACAATTAGAGCTTAACTCTGTAACAGATGGTACAAGACCAATATTGTGTCACTAATGACCATAGCAGCTATGACTGATGTGTCTCCTTCTTTGATTAAGAAAAAAAAACGCTCCATGACAAAATGGTTAAAAGGGCCTATTTAGAGCAGCCTGAGGACCCCAACTCCCCTTCAGTTTCAGACAAAGAGGGTACACTTGGATCAATTGTGCTGAACAAAGACTAAACTATGTGGGGTGGTGCATCACACAAGGCTCTTTCTGCTGCCCTGCATGGACATTCAGTCACCCAACACTGAGCTGCCAACAGGTTTTCTCCTCCAACAGCCACTCAAGCAAAAAGTGGGTGACTCTGCTCACTAGCTGGTTTTTAACTTCCTTCCTTCCTTCTTCCCTCCCTTACTTCCTTCTTTAAAGCATCTTAGCACAAGTGAGAAAAAGATGCAGGATTGTTTTTGGTATATTCTTAGCCCTGGTCCTCTTAGAAGGTCCCAACATATCTCTGACTCTAGTACAAATGATGTATTTTACACTTTGTGAGCCCATAAATGAGAGATTCTTCTTCCCTGCAATTTGAAAGTAAGTAGCAACATAATACTCTGCTTAGATGACCCATGGAAATTTGACAGTTAGATTAATTAGTAACAAACAAACAAAGTTACTGATGAAAATGGAGAAAAGTAGAGAATGAACAACAGAACTTGATGTTTCGTCTGACTTCAGTCTGATGGTTGACACAAATAAAGGAAAATCTAAGTGATGGGAACAATAATAATTTTCACATTTTAGGTGAATTTTTATGTTAGCATGTCTTCATTAGGTGTAACACATGACTGATTAGTTTCACTAAGAATGGAATAATCATTTTTCCATGACAAAGCTTGTTGTCGCTGATGGATACCTGCCAGTATCAGTGGATATGCTGTTTATAAAATTGTGTAAACATGTGCATTTAATCAAAGCAAAGCATGATGGTGAATATAATGTGATTTATTATAAAAGTAGTTAATAAGGGAAAATCTTTTGTATGCAGCAGCTCTTGGAGTGTTAATTATGATTAGTGCAATGTATCACCAAGAAAACATTTTAGTTTACAGCACCCAAGGCAACACTAAATGCCTACAGATTGGAGGGAGGGCAGATGTGTTGTAATTTGCGGTTAAATTTAACAATTTAACAAGACAGTGGAGATCATGTGTCTGTTTAATGTTCTTGAGATGAGAAAACCTTGAAGAAATAAAGAAACTGCAAAGTAAATGTCCTAAAATCCTCAGTTTCACAGTTCAAAATCCACTTCTTTGTTCTGTAGGTGAAAAGACATGTCATCTTTTCAAACATTGTACTCAGTGTATGTTACTGTAAAACCCAAGAATCTCCCTTTCCCAATGTCGCCAGGTTTGTTCGTCACATGGGTTGCCAGGTTTTGTCCATAGATTGGATGTGTTCCTTGGCTTTCATCCTCAGTGCAGCGATACTAGAGCTTCGTTGGTCCATGTCCTCCAGAGGGTATTTTTCAGGATACGGTGCTGGACACTGATAAGGAGGAGGAGCCATACTCTGCATCCCCTGACCCATGGATGGATGAGGATGGGAGTGAGGATGGGGAGTAGAGTTGAGAAAGCTGTGGCTGTGGTAGCTGGGCTGGAGACCTTGAGCTGGACCCATGAAACCCGGAATGCTGTGGACAGGTGTGGCGCTGGACAGGGGGGAGGTCAGCCAGGGGTCCAAGGGGAGGGAATTGGTCATTGGAGTCATGCTGGTATGAACTGGCGGTGAGCGGTTGAAGGAGAGCATGGGTGAGTCGTGGAGCTTCATGGTGCTGGCATCCATTTTCTCCTGCCGACGCCATTTAGCTCTGCGGTTCTGAAACCAGACCTAGAGGATACAATCAAATCATGATCCTAGGTATATAAGAGAAACTTTTCATCCTTCATCTGGGTCTCACTTGCAATGAATGCAAGGATTAGTGTTAGGTATTAACCCTTAAGTACAGTGATAACAATCAAACTGGAAACAAAATGTTGTCCACAAACAAGTTTCTTGCTTTGAGTCAGTGTGCAGTTGTTTCTCTTTTCATCAGCATTCTTTTTTAATAGCCTTGCCATTTCTTAAAGTATGTAGTGACCCAGTCACTAACTTTAATTGAAATCTGAAGCTGGAAACTTTCTGTTGAGCTTATTTTGTACAGGTTGTGAACGTTAGTGATACAGACTCTTAATTGAAAGAGACAATTATTCTACTTTAGAACAAAACCATTCAGGATTGCAACACAAGCAGGATCTCGATCCCACACTCACAGAAACACTGCTCAAACTAAAGTTATTTAGTGTGAAATGTAATTGAAGAATGCAGTTAAACACCTAAAACCAACCCTAGATTCTTACACTGCACATATTGCATGTTCATCACTATATTGGCAACACTAGCCAAACATTCCTTGAGAAGTTGAACTTGGATGTTTATTATTGAGCTTGGAGATAACAGTTTGACACAAAATACATAAAATAAAAGTCAACAATACACAATTAAATGTGTCAAAGAATGGAAGATATGGAAGCTCAGTAAATGAGTTAAATGATGTTTAATGATGTTAAATAAAACACAGCCACATAGCCTACCTACTGGACATTACTTGGTCATTTACTGGCTAAATGCTCCAGAAATAAACCATGTGTTAGTAATTATTAGCCAGATTCTTTGTGAATGTTGCTTTTTTTCTTTGCCCTTCATTTCAACTCCATCAGTTTAGGTTGCTTCTTGACTGTCTTTATGATGCTATCCAGTTTAATGCTAATCTAAAGCAGGCACTGTTCAAGACTGCAACTGATTGTTGTTATGACTTTATAAGACAGTGGCAATCTCTGTTTCAACACTTGGAAACACACATCCTGTCAATATCTAACACTGACAAGGTAAAGGCCATAATCTGTGTGCATTTCTGCTGCACTTAAGAGCACTTTAAGATTTGGAAACACACCAGTTTATCTCTTTAGGCTGTACTGTCAGAGTGTAGTGTGAGTACTGTAAAAAAAAAGGCATGACAAGTATCTGCAGTTATAAATAGTATAAGTCACAACTGTCACTATGAATGTCTGGTTATTGTGCTTCTGATGTAAAACAACATTTATGAACAGTCCAACACAAGAGAAAACAATACAAGAAACTAAAATAGCTTGGGTTATATTAATAAGACCAAGGAGGTATATAAATAGGACTTATCAAAGATCTCTGTCATTTCGACTGTTATGAGTAAAGACATGTTTGGAAGGATTCATGTTACTGCCTCTGATGTTGCTCCTACCTGCACTCGGACTTCAGGCAGGTTCACTTTCATGGCCAGCTCCTCTCGGCTGTACACGTCTGGGTAGTGGGACTTCTCAAAGGCACGCTCCAGCTCATGCAGCTGGTAGGTGGTGAAAGTAGTGCGGTTACGTCTGTGTTTTTTCTTGGGCTGATTGTCCTTGCATGGCTCAGGAGACTTGCTTTCATCACTGTCTACATTCTTCAGCTCGCTCAGGTCTTCATCACATTTGTTAGTGAATACATCTGTTAAGCAAAAAAAAACAAAAACAATATTGTTTTCATGTGCAAATTTTATCAATACAGTACTCTACATGTCTGGTTGCAGTTGAAATATCATGTATTATAACTAAAATTTAAAATTTAGTTTGTTGAAATGAAGAGTGCAGTTCCCACTTTGGAGCAGAGAGGACATTAGTCTGAAACCCGCAACAAGTTGTTTCCAGTCTTCTCCAAAAGTAACCTGTCTGCTAGGAAATGAAAGAGTTTCCTTTCTTTTATGGACTCAACTGTAAATCACATTATTTTAACAACATCACATACAGTCTGTAACAGTAATTATCACTGACCAAGGAGTGCAAAACTAATCTCATTCCATTAATTTCCACAGTATAGTTGTGACTGTGATTGAAGCATTAACAACAAACAATACTCTCCAGAAATGCCACTGAGACTTTACTGTTTACTGACACTACGAGGCTTTTATGCAACTGTCCTTTCCCATAATCATAGCAAACAGTTTTGCTTTCATCTGGATTTTTCTTTCTCACGTTCATTCCTAATCTTCAATAATATCTTTGGATATCACAGCAGAAAAAAATACAGAAAAGAAAAAGAAAACATTACACAAGGAAAAATAAGATCTTTAACATTGGAAAAAACTGGATTAAAATTAACCTTTTGTTTAATTTAATTAAACAAAATACAAAAAAGATGATCTGGCAATCAGAATAGTTGTTCCTGTGAGTTTATGTCCACCAGGATAAGACCTTCATCAGGTGCTACACATTGTTCAAGGTGTTAGGAAAGTTGTCAGTCACTGAAAGTAAATTAAATTGATTTTTAACTTTTCTGGCAGGAGTGTTAGAATTCCCAATTCACGTCCCTGTAAAAAGTAAGTGCAAGTTTGGCATTTAAGAAGAAAAAAAACTGTTATTTGTTCCACAAATACAAGTTAAACAATTATTTACTTATTTATTTACTTACTTACTTATTTAGCCATTAGCCAGGGGCAGAGGAGACTGGCTGTGAGCACTGATCAAGTTAAGTTAGAAAACAGCTGCTTATTTACACATCCAGCAGTTAGCGTTATCATTCATTTAGAGTCGGGTTTGCCTGCCTAATGAATAGAAATTCGCTCCCTTTTAGCTCTGTTTTAGTTTCTACCAACTCTTGAGTGAATCATGTGGCTCTTCAGCTGCTACATGTTCCACTGTGTTCACCAGTGAGTTGTGAAGTGTGTCTGTCTGCTGTTCATGATGAGCAGGTGGTTTTTTAGAGCCTTTTCACTGAAAACAGCTGCAGAGCAGTGAGTGACAAAAACAAGTTCAGACAGAGATAAATAACAAGCTGAAACTCTGTATAATGCTCTACAAAGCTGAGGGAAGCTGCAGATTCAGGTGATAAATCTCTGTAGGTTTATGACCACGAGTGATACCCTTCACATTATTACTTTGCTGTCAGACTGTTATTTGATACAATGTTATAAAAGTATGAATTTTAGCTGCTTTAAATTACATTTAAATTATATTTTGAAAGTGAAATGACTGTTTCTAAATACTGTAGGTTTGAAGGTAAATGTTCTTTATATAGTAGGTTGTAGTTTATAATTGAGGTTTTCTGAACGTTTGATACACATTGCTGAGATCCTTCACTGCTTCATGGCAACAACTGACAGTAGATGTATGTAAATGGAACCCTGTTTCTTTCAGTAGGATGTGTTGATGGAGATAAAGGAGGGGGTCACTGTGGTCTTTCAACTGACAAACCGGAGCAGAGGTAAAGGCAAAGCAGGATTTTAGGAGTTCGTTTATCCATCTCTCATTAAGCAACTATGACAAAAGCCAGGCTCTGACAAAAGTAGAGGTCAGGTCTGGTTCAGTGACCAGCTCTCAGCCTGTCAGCCCATCACAGCCGCCGGCCTGAAGGCTGCCCACTGATGACCAGCCAGCAGAACCTTTCAACTGACACCAAGCACTGCAAGTTGCTTATTCAGGGGGGAACCGGGATGACTTCACAGGACAGTTACACACAGAAGGGTGAAGTCATTAGTGTTGATGTGTGTTACTCAAGAAAAACTAATGTCCTCCTGGATTCAGCTACTGAATTTGAATTGCGTACAGGTTTGGGTTTTTTTTTTTTTTTTGGTGAGAGTTGCTGTTCTGCCACCTGCCAGACCCTGCATGACAAAATAACTTCAGATTAAATGTGATAAATTTGATTCTGAGATAGAGTGATAACAATATCAGCCGAATGAACTACTGTACAATCTAATCTGCACAGAAGAGAAGATTAGGAGGATTCCACAAGGGGATGGGATTGAGCTCAGGGACCTGCACCCCCTACACCATCTTTTTCAGTGATTTATCTCTCAATCTCAGCCCACACACTTCACACAGTTAATGCAACAGTCTCTACATGGAAACGCTATGTACCACATTGATTCTGTACCTGAAAATCTAAAAAAACAATGCTACTCAAAGTGCCACATTTAAATAATGGGATTTTTATTAGTTGCCATGTCTGACAAACAATAGCACAAATAATTAAACAAAACATTAACTGTGTTTCATAGGTCACATATGCATAGAGACCAGGCTACCGTTGTGAACACAGAGGAACAAGATTGATTTTTTCCAACACTTTGTTTCTTCCATTCAGTGTGTTGAATAATTATTGTGCTATTTTACAGCCTACTAAAATTATGTTCCATTGTTTGGTTAGTTACATTGTTTCATTTCCACTGCAGTAAAAGTCTGTGGAAAAAAAAGATCAGGATCAGATCCAAACATTCAAGTAAAACTGTTGACCTACAGTGCAGAGAAATGTGACCTGCAAACTATTTGTATTACTGGATGTTTTGTCTTAGATCAACAGATCTACTGTATGTGACCTGTGTTCTATGTCAGAATCAGCACTTGTTCAGCTATAAGGTTAGACTTTTGTGGTGAAGCTTGTAACTCTTATTCATGCTGTTTGATATGTTTCTTAGGTTTTTGTGGAAAAACCTCGTAGCTTTGAGTTAATGCTACTAAAGTTAATCAGTTTATCTGAGTTTTTTTGCATCACTATTCTAACTTCAGTGCAAAAAAATCAGTTTTATCTTGCCTAATTTAAATCTGTGAAACATAGACACAAAAGCTCAGTCCAGCCTTTCAGCGCTGGCAAGAGGTGCTGCTATATCTCTCAATAACAAATTTAAAGTGGAACTGAGCAGCACCGACCAAGGCCCTCACACAAAATAAGATTAATCCCTTGTTGTGTAAAACAAGTGTTCTCATATACAACTATAAAAACATGTGCTTTGCCAGGGTGGAGGCCAGTATTCCCAGCATCAGTAGCCTGACTCACCATGGTGTGGCTGCTGCTGCTGCTCTGTGTTGCCGTTTCTTAGAGCAGATAGGTGCCCGCTGTAGGACGGGTGTGGTGAGGGCTCTTGCCGCTTCCCAGGCTCCGCCAAGCCATCTACATCCACTTTACGGGGTTCTGGGGGCCCGGCAGGACTGAGCAGGGGGTCCTGGTCTTTACTGAAGCCTAGAATGACATCAATGCTGTGGACATGGCCCCCTGCAGTGATGCCCCCACCTTTCCCTATTTCGTGGAAGTTGCTGGGTGAGAGGCAGCTGTCGTCCACCATGCTCATGGTATCCAATGATAAATGCATTCGAACGTCTGGGCGCTCACCCAAGCCTGTGGTCATAAAAACAGGGTCTAAGTGAAGGATTAAAAGCACAATGGCAGGTCAGAGATCACCTGGTTACCTTACAACCTTCTGTCTATACCTTCATCCATCTTAATCTGATTATCCTCTGAAGAGTTGCAGGGGGCCCAGAGTCTATGCTACAGCACACGATGAAAGGTGTGCTGACGGAAACTAATGACATTTGTTAATCCATTGTTTTATTTTTTAAATACATGAACATCACTTGCAGCTGTGCAGTGTTGATTGCAAATACAAACCAAGTTCAAGTTCATAATTCAACATCTATATTCAGTGTTCACATTTTATCCAGTACAAAAACCCACTGGTCATAAAACCAGTCATATTTAGTCCTATGTGTATCTCACAATCTCTCTTTTAAAATAAAAAACTGTTACAAATGCCATCAAGACAGTGTTAAACACAGCAGTGAAAGAGGTCTGCTCACTCTGCTGAGCATGTTTCTATTGCTTTTCATAACTGAGGTTGTTTTCTTTTACCTATTTTTTGTGCTCTGCTCTGAATTAAAAACAGACACATATTTGCAGACATGCAAAAGAGCAAACTTCAGATACTTGAAGAGCAGCAGGAGTAACATTTGGTCAGCGCATTCAACGGTTCAAAGACTGAGCACACCTCTATCTTTTTGAACCTGCATTTCCCCAGTTTCAGACACTCACATGACAACTAACAGAGCTGGACCTCAGTGTCAGTGAAAAGCGCAACAAGCTGCGTCAGAGCCTACCTCTTGGAAGTACTGTAAATATGTTGAACAGGTTGCTGGTGCCAGCGCTTCACCTGTTCCTCTCAGCAGCTCACCCTCCAAGTTCACTCTTCCACGGATCCGTTATGTGTTCCACTTACAGTCACTCAGCCAGCTGTTTCCATTGCATCTCTCTAAATAATTTCTTTATATGTGGGAAACTGTCCTGACAGAAACTCTCCAATAAAGTGCACGTAAATAAAGCCACCCAGTGCAAAGAACGTTCAACAACTGAGACGCCAGCTAAAAGAGGAGAAAGACGGAGAGGGAGAGGCAGACAAAGCTCAGGGGGCGTATAGGAGGTGAAACGAGGGGATTAGGAGAGGGTTATTAATTGGAATCCTTCCCCTTTAAGAGTGATTGACGGTTTTCTGTTCAAGTAATTGTTTTAAATGTCATTTCCATTCACCCCCACAAGAGGAGCGCCACTCTAATGAAGCCAGGACAAGACTTTCTTTCATAAATGTATTGTTGTAAAGACAAAAAAACCACTGAAAGTTTTCACTGAGGACACCCAGTCCAACATTACGTGGAACTACATGAAAAACGAAAACACTGAAATGATAATAATGTACATACAGGACAGAGAAGCTGATGTTGGCTTATCAATTTTTTGAACAATGTTTGTCAGAGATGTGTCTGTGATACATATTTACACTAATATCCCACCAAAATCATAAAGTTTATGTATTGCATCAAAAGTTACATGTGTAAGACACATCCACCAAAAGGTCCTGGTCTGACGGGCTGGTACAAGGACACATGCAATAAAAGTTGCTACTTGTATTAATTACAAACAACAAAGGAGCTGCTGCCAAATACAGCAACTTGATTTAGTAATATCTAAAACAAGAAAATTTCAAAATCTATAAACTATTTTTCATTATCTTAAAAGTTTAAAATTTTACTTTAGTTGTTTTAGATGAATTTCAGGTGAACTACAACTACAGTAATACTGTACAAAACTATGTGACAAGTAATTACAACAGGTGCTTTTACAACTTACACTGATGTCAGTTGTTATTGTTTGCTAGTGCTTGGAAACTCCTGTTTACTTGCACTGATTACTGTGTATTGACTGTACGCGAGTGTGTTTTTTTTCTGTCACAACAACAACGGTTTCAGTTTGGTGAATGAATGTATTGTTTAGCTTGAATCACATCTACGTCAATGAGCTTGTGGGTTTTCCTCATGTGAGGGCTTCTAACCATTATTAATGCGCTGTAGGCCACTGATAATGGCAGTGTTTATATAATCAAAATCCTTTGAGGGATAAAACAAAGTCATAACTGTCACATGATTATCACAGAATTGATTGGTTACTCCAGATGCTTGCATGTTGTTTCTTTGTGTACTGGAGCACAAAAGCGTCTGCTGCAGCTTTAAATCTGAGGAAACTGCAGAGTTCAAAGTTGACCCCGGCTTAGTGTCACAGAAATCAGCCATGACTCTAAAGACGCTAAAGAGATTTCCGGTGACCTCGAACATATCTAAAGTTAGAGAAAGATTGATTTAAAGACAAGACGGTTGAATCTGTTTCAGTCTTTAACTGGGAGAATATGCACATAAAAGGCAATAGAGCAAAAAGGTAATAGATGAATTGCATGTTTTGATTATGTAGACAATGATTTTTTTTTTTGATCAGGCAGCCCACAATTTAGAGTTTTATTCATGTTATTTGTCTCAGTTCAGCAACATTTATCCCTGTAATGCTCAGTACATGACCACCTTTACATATATAGACCACAGTTTGTAAGTGTACTCCATTAGTTTAACATTTTACTCACGTGCCAGCTGGGGGACACACTTTACACCGCTGAACATTCAGATTAAACCCCTTTCCCTATAGTAATAGTGGTTCTATGGCGTATGGCAAATCATCATGATGGAGCAGTGACATCCACACTGCAGAACCAGAACATTTTCCAGCCATGTTTCTCATATAAGATGGACATTCATGCTGTGATTATAGGCTATGAAACAAAGATTATTTATTGTTTGGATCCACATCTCCAGTCTCGATTCAGCTGAAACAGAAGAACAATTCAGTCTGATTATCAGACTTAGTTCTAAAATCCAAGGACATAAGAATTTATTGTAAATCACCAAATGACCACATCCAGCTTTAGCAAACACTTAAAGCAGAACTCCACTGACTTTACTGTCTAAAGGTCCTGGGAAGTACTACTGCATGGATGATAAAATCTGTGATACGTTGGGCCTGAGGACTACAAGTCTGAAAATGAACATAATCTGGGGGTATGTGTTAGAAAGAATCAACTTTACATGCACCAGACCTCTGCAGCCCACACCTCACCTCTGCTTGAGGCTAGTGGCTCAAAGCTATACTATCCACTAAATGCATAATGCACTCACATTTCTACTCATTACACAGATACATACTTATACAACAATGAAACGGTAACAGGTTGGAAAGTAAAAAAGCAGTGAGTGGGTAAAAAGTGCAGCTCTATCAAAATCTAACGATGCATTTCAATGTATCACAATGCACTAAAATATCCAAAATATTATCTTTCATTCTTTCTTAAATATTGACATTAGAACTAATCATTTCAATTTCAAAAATAAAACCAGAGCACAAGAGCAGTATTGTTCCTTGAGAAGCCTTCATTCCCACCAGTGACTCTCACTGCCAACAAGCTTACAGAGCAATGATCTGAAGTGCTTCTTTATCCCTTGATGATTTTGTTAATACATTTTTGTCCTTCCATTATTTCTCTAGTATCCCAATTGAGCATAAATTGGCTAAGAAGGAGCAGTGTAGTTATCAAGCTGCTTAGTTTTATCAGATGACAGTGTAAGTCCTGCTGATCCTATTAGAGGTAAAAGCAGCTAACAAATGTGCAGTGCCAGCTTACAGAGAGGAGGGAGGGAAGAGGGAGTGGTGTAGAGAAAGGGTGACATGGAGGGAAGAATGAGACGTGATAGGAAAGGCGAATTCATGCGATTCGCTCTGTCCTGCAAAAGCACACACACAGAGAAATCTCTCCTCTCTGACTGACTCTTCTGGTGAGGCTTTCTCCTTGAGGTTGCCTATAAGTTCTCTACTAACTTTGGCAGTCAGGCTGCATTTCACATATTATTGTTCATACCGAGTTAGAGGAAATGTTCATGTCAGTCTCCAACTTGTAATTCCGAGTCACCGATATTAAATTGCTGACCCCAGTGATTCTCCGCCTTGGTGAAAAGAACTACAGACTTGTCAAGAAGCTGCAAACGCACCACTGCTGGTAGCTGCATCAAAATAAAGTCCAGTATTAACACTGATACAAGCTATCCAGATAATTTTGTGAGTTGTATATTTGTATCTGATTCCACCTTATAAAGATGGACAAGACATCATTACTTCCTGACACTATGAAAAAGTGAAGAAGCGAATCAATATGTTTTCACTTTTAACAGTATAAGAGAAAAGGATTTCAGGATGAGGATCAATTAATGTATTTATAGAACATAATAATATTTGTTGACTGGAGTTGCAGGAGCGTAAACGTCCCCAAATCCATTGTCAGTTGCCTTGTGATGTGACAACAATCCAAAAAAGGTGCTTGATTTTGTGGTGAAAATATTAACATTGCATTTCTATTAAAAAGCAGCTAACTGTAATAAATAAGAATGTAGCTGTGTATGTAAAATAAACATCAGCATCAAAACCCTTTCACCAGGATTAGAAAAGCAGAAAACATTCTGCAAAAAGCCCAAGAGGATGGTGGATAACACAAAGTTATAATCTCAAAATCCATGTAAAGAGGGAAAATAGAAGTAGTAATAAATGCCATATTTCCTGTAGATTTATGTTTTAAAAAACAAATTAGATTTGAAGGAATTGAATCAAAGCCCAACCTCAAATATACTGTCCAGGGCAATGTGATGGATACAGTGGCAAAAACAGCATTAGGACTGGCAAAGCATCTCCAGGAATGAATGATGGAGACTTCAGCCAAAGGATTTATAGCCAAATATTAAATATGAGGACTTTTCTCCTATTACAGTTGGTCCCCTAGCAAATGAGGTACTAGAATATATATAAAAAGTGCTGGAAAGCCTTGATGTTAACACTAAAACAGGCAGCTGAAAATCAGGCCTTTAACCTCCTAATGATTATTACATTACATAAGCAGGGTCCTGGAGTAAAGAGTCAAAACAACATAAATGTCCAACTACTTATACACTGAACTGAACGTCTGCCTCTGTCTTTTCTCTCTTTAGTCACAGCAGACGGCTCATTGTCTGTCAATCCATGGCACTGCTTCAGCAGATTGGCTCTTCACTATGTATTAGTAGAAACCATGCCTTGGAAAGCATTAAACTCTCTAGAAAAACCTCTCAGCTCACACATAAACATATGGGTGTCATGATAAAAGCTTTGTCCTTTGATCCGTACATCAGTGCTACAAATATATACACTGACAAAGAGCAAGGAAATAACCCCTGGTTATAATCAATAACGTAAAACTCATGCCCATCAAAGACAGCTAATCTTTTATTATACATATTTTGCATTTGGTTCCTTTATAAACCCTAGTGCAGAAAATCGGTGCTCACCCCATTCAGGAAAACACAGAGCAGTCTGAACAAATCATGGAAGACCCTCACTCCCATTGTATGATAACAAGAGAGGGAGGATCAGTCCCCAGTTTGGGATGGAGACAAATACCAGGCTTATATAGACTAAAATCTAATGACATTTTTAATTTGATCTTGTGATGTGTCAACAATCCAAAAAGTAGGGCTTCATTTTGTGGTGAGCTTTATGTGTCTTAGTATTATCAGAAAGATCACCTCTATTAAAAAGCAGCTGATAGTCACAAATTGTTAAATGATTACTGTAATAAATAGAATAAATTGTATATGTAAAAAAACTAACAAACAAAAAAACATCAGTATTCCAGAACCGTTTTCCCCAAAAGGAAAGGATGAAACAAGGAAAGCAGAAAACATGCTGTACCTCCACAAAGCCCAAGAGGATGGTGGATAACACATAGTCACTCCTATAATTTTAAAATCTAATACAGTATATGTCATATTCCCATAGATTTAGTCCTGTGAAACAAACCCCATTATGCTGACCAGTGGAGTGTGACGAACAATGTGGCAAAAACACTATTAGGCTTGGTTTTGGTCGACTGGTTTGATTTAAAAAGTAACAGAATAAAATAAATGCCAAAGACCATCTTTGACTTCTGGCCTTCATAAAGGTCAAAAAGCTACTGTACTTTAGGAGAAGTAACTAAAGGCCTAAAGAGTGTCTGTAGCAGATCTGCAACTAACCTCTCAGTATTCTCTGCACACAAGCAAAATATTGGCTGTTGTGTGAAACATGAAAATAAATTTCTTTTCTTGTTATATGCCAGCAATAACAAAATATTTCTCATTCTAAGCCCTGAATCACTGGCATATTGCTGGGATACAAGCAGATTTGGGTGATCTCCGACTAAATCCAAGTAAAAAAATGTTCCATCTCTCCTGTTTCATCCTCTTTCCTACATGTTTTTCATCTTTTTTCCAACATCTTTCCCTTACATTAAATACAAATAACCTGTATTTACTCTTCATGTGAAACATTCGATTTTTGAAGATACAATAACATATTCAAATATCAGTAAACAGAACTTAAACCCCAAATGACATTCAAACATACAACATGTCAGTGAAGAGATTCAAGTTCAATGTGCAGTATTTCAATCACTAATACATATACACTTACATTTTTATCAAAGGCTAAAAAACTGTCCCGAAACAGCTGGGTACTGCGGTTTTTAGCAAACATGACTGAAGCAGGAGTAAACGGTGTATTTGTTGTCTTTTTTCCACACACCCATATTTAGTAATGAAGGACTGTGTCAACAATTGAAGCAATGTGACTCAGTGATTTGCTTTTTAATAATCTTGGACAACAATGGAAATTTATGGCACAGAAGAATAAATCTCTTTTAAGTTTCTTCCTCTGGGGATAATGAATGTCTTTTCAAAATTTCCTGGCAATCCATGCAGTAGAGACACAATGTCAATCTGGACAAGCCAGCCAGTAGACCACTGGCATTACATGATGTCCAGATATTACATAAATACAGTCTGGTTCTATCTGCTATGGTCCACTTGGAACTGTTAAGTGTATGAAAACCTTAACACAGTTGGTTCATCTAGCATGATGCACACCAACACAGGAGGGCGTACCAATGCGTGGACTAGCTGTCCAGGAGACAAACACTCCAATGTGAGTTCAAGATTCACAACCAAGATCAGCATCCAGAACCAGACCTGATCCCACTGCGATGCACAGACTCCTGACCCGGACTGTGTTTACTCATCTCCTGTTCAAGTTTCTCCCTCAGTTTGTGGAAAGCTGGTCTTCTGCGTGGTTCCTGCTCCCAGCAAATCCTCATGAGGGCGTAAACACCAGGAGGACACTCCTCTGGAGCCTCCATGCGATAACCCCCCTCCACTCTCTCCTTCATCTCAGTCAGAGACTACATTAACAGAAGCAAAGTGCATGAGTGGGTCTGACATTTAGCTTGCAGTACAAATAAAATAGTCAATACTGATGTTTATTAAGCTGTGCTGAAATAAAAAAAATAACTTGAAACCAAAAAAGCAATTCAGATCACAATAGGAAGAAAAAAAAATAGGATCTTAGTGTGTGGGCAAATAAAGCAGTGTCATTTCCCTATTTATTACACAAAGGGCAGACACTAATCACACACACGCTTTGTCTTTCTCTTTGTAATTTTAATCTTGGTGTCTGATTTTGCTCTCTCTGCCACAGATGGCAAATTACCAGGTGCAGAGTTTAATTGAGGGAAAAATAAACTTGACCCAAATATATCAAGTTGTGTATATGTTAAACAGGCTGTAAGTAGGAGGTAGTTATCTGCATTTAAAAGGACACCGCCTGATGTAAGGTCCTGTGGGATGCTAGCTATCCCTGCGTTTAATGCTACCTGATCCTGCTGTCCTCACTGATCCGCCAACCAAGACACCTCAGTGGACAAAGAGCAGGGATTACCTGAGAGAAACTAGTATGGCAAGCGGTGCTGTGTTTAAGTAGCACAGTATCTTCCTTTTCGAGTCCCTCTGGTACAGTATCAACACGCCCTGACCTGTCAAACTCTGCTTTATCTCACAGAAAAAATGTTCCCAAAAACAGGAGCACTAATAATGGTTATACAGTGCTAACGTTTCAGCAACCATGCACCTTCCTCAGAGCTTAAACTGGAATCATAGAAATAATAATAACGATTATATTAGAAAGCAACAGCAATCCCTCAAAATTCTACCTATAAACTGTGAAAAATATGATCTAGATTATGAAGACATGATACAGGACTAATGATTTTGAAATAGCATCTGTAAAGAGACCATATCTAAATAGAATGGTAACAATAATTGATGTAAGAAAAAATAAGGGGACCAATAAGGAAAAAAGTAGATGTACAAGACAGGCATAAATAACACAGTTGAAAAAGAACTACAAAGCATGCCTATTTTTGTGAGTCTGTGCACATCTGGAGCAGCTGAGCACACCCTACATTGGTTTGAGCACGCTAACTAAAGCTTCTCTGCTTTATCTGTTTTCATATTACTTCCTCCATCTCCTGCTTGAATACCTAAGACACAGATAAAGAATAACTTCCTCTTTCTCCACCACGAAAAGTAGATTAGTGAAGTCACTGGGTACAATATGTTTATTTATATAGCAACAGTTTTGTGAGCTCTTTCTTTCTGCCAAACCTCTCTCCTCATTGACGCACTACACTTATCTGAGTGACCCAAGTTGATCCAGCGATGACAGTTAACTGACCAATCTGACATTTAGGCCTTGCGGCTTTTCCATGAACACACCTACTACTATGCAATAGAGATGTCAATCTTAACATGACATGTTGTGTAATATGCTCTTTCCTTTAGTGTGGGATGACTAAAGATGATCTATGAGAAGTAAAATTTTGTAGACTCCTTAAACGGGTGATATTTCTCAACGTCAGCCTCTGCCATTCATAAGCATGGAGTGAGGGTTCATTTGTGATCATCAGAGTTGGAGGTGGGTTTTGTTTCCTTGGGACAGAGCCAGGCTGTTTCATCTGTTGCCCCTGTTTATCCCAGTCTTTATACTACGCTAGGCTAACTTCTTCTTGCTGTAGCTACATATTTACTGCTATCTAACTCTTGGAAAAAACTGCATAAGCATATTTAAAGTATTGAACTATTGGTTTAACAGTGTTTTTACTGCAACTGACTGTGTGTCCGTAGTGGGAGACCCATAAAACACACCCACACTGACAGACACAAACACACACCAAAAACAACATGTACCGGTGCTACATACCATCTTAGGGTAAGGCTGACGACCATAAGAGAAGATCTCCCACAGAAGAACACCGTAACTCCATACATCTGACTTTGTAGAGAATTTCTGCATGATAAGAACATGTGTATATAAATATATATAAGACAAACAATGCTACTTTCTGACCTGATAAGCTTGAATATTAATACCAAAAAAAGAGCCCAGTGATTAATTTCTCATTTTTATTGTTTCATTTTACTTTTAAATGAAGTAAAACACCTGTGTAAGAACCCAGACTGACATACATGCACAAAGATAAATTTGACAACTAGTTAACACACCTTTAAACAAAGACGGAGCTGCTGCTGACATGAGCATTAAATACAAATAATTATGTTTAGTCAGTAAAGAAAAGCCAGGTGTCAATGCCTCAGAGAGGCAGAGATCATGGTTTACATTCACATGGTAAGTAAAGGGTGAAACAGCAGCTTTTTGAACCGACCTCCTTCTTCAGAGCTTCGGGGGCGGTCCATTTAACCGGCAGTTTGGCATTGTCAGACACCTTCAAGTCCACTTTGGTCAAGCCAAAGTCGCTGACCTTGGCCACGCTGTCATCAGAGACCAGGATGTTACGAGCTGCCAGATCTCTGTGAACTAGCTTCTTTGACTCGAGGTACTCCATCCCCTCACACACATCGCTGCCCATGAACATGCAAATACACACAAACAATTATTGTTTGAATTTCATACAAAATTACAGCCACACAATGTAATGCAGATGCAGTTCTTCCAGCGCTGCCCATCTCCTGAACTGTAGACCATGCTATAATTAACGTTATGAAAGATTTGTCTTCGACAGTTGAACTCACAGTGCAAAGCGAAGCAGCTGAACCGAGTTTACAACTGAACGTCCCCGTGTCCTGAGAAAGTTGACAAGGTTTCCCTGCAACAGACAAGCACAAGATAAAGGTCATAAATATGTTTCTATAAGAGGATTTCACAGTTAGTGTTCTGTGCAGTAATATAGTTGACAAGCTTGGGGTGACCCATATGCTAGATGCTACAGCATATTTGCAAGTCAGCACAAAACAAAATAACAAAACTAATTATTTTTAAATGTCACGTACAGTGAGGACTTCATGTGACCATACTGTAGTTGACCATCTGTTAATTTTCATTAACTAGGACAGAAACATAAAACTCCTTAAAGCTGAACTGCCATTTTTGAGCTTGGTGGCTTCAAGCAGCAACAGGGAATTCTGTAATTAGAATTTTTGGATGTGACTACCCAAATGCAAAATACAACAATCATGGTAAATGAATAAAAGGAGCAGATCGTTTCGTCCCAGCTGTTTAGGAGACACCGCACAAGTAGATGTCCCACTGATGACTCATCTCGACATCTAACATTATTTTGGTCACAGTGACATGTCAGTGGGGTTTCACTTACTCTGTGTGGTTTAACTTCAGTATCAGTGGGTCATTTGTAGCACGAAATGGTTCTTGAATAGCTGCACTGAGTGGAGCTTCAGTCTACAATCCATATTTAGTCACTACTAAACATGGATTGTACTACTACTACTTTTAGCATTTATCTTGTTGCCTGTTCTTATAATAATTTTTCCATTGAGAACCACTGATAAATTGTGTTTACTATACCTTACTCATGAGCTCTGTGACAATATGAAGCCCTTTGTGAAGAATGACACCCAACAACCGCACCAGGTTTTTATGCTGAAGCTTCCTGGAAGACACGAGTTCACAACAAATGTACTGTAAGTTATGAGTAGCAACAGAAATGGAACCACCGACATGTTACACTGATGCACTATATTTAAACTGCTACAATCACAATGAGTTCATTTATCAGTGAGCAAACACACAAAGTGTCTTACTACAGGAGGAATGAATTCACTGCTTTTGTAGATGATTTAAAAAAGGTTTTGACACAAGTTGCAAATTTGAAATTGATGAAGTCTTCAGACTCACGTCATAACGGTGGTCTCCTGCAGGAACGCCTGAGCTGTGACATCACATTTAATGGTTTTTACTGCCACCCTCTGGCCCATATACTCTCCCTCATAAACAGCTGGAGTCAAAACAGAGTGCAGTTTTTACCAGAGAACATCCTTACATACAGTGCCAGCTATTTACTTTTTTTTTCATATTCATGCTGTAAGTTTGCTGCTTAGGGATACACTGATAAAAAAAGAGGAAGAGGAAGCTTACCACCAAACTCCCCCTCCCCAATACTCTCTCCCAGTTTGAGTTTCGTAATGTCTAGCAGCCATCCAGCTGGAGAGAAGACATGCGCAGTATTGTAAACCTGCCATGCACCTTTATATGCATTTCACATCAATGATTAACTTAAATTATCTCACACATGTTGTGATCATGATTTTCAGTCCTACCAAAGACAAGCAGGGCTGTACAAACAGTTTCCTTCATGTCAACATCAATGTACCTTTAGACAGCTCCAACTCAGCTGACTTGGTTCCTTGTTTTTGTTTGGGCTTCAGAAGAGTTGTAGCAATAGAGCCTTTATTCTTTGAGTAGAACTGCAAAGATTAAAACATAACAACAGTTATTTATAGTTGATATTACCTGTAATATCTTTGTGTGCTTATCGTCTCTGATTTCTTGTTTTCAGAAGACTAAAAACTGTTTATGTGCAAAATGATTTGCCACATACAAAAGGTTTGTAAATGTACTGCACATTCTGTTCTGTTCTCTAGCTCTAAAACGAATAATGAACCCACCGAAACTTTGACACAGCTGTGCAACAACACGCTCACAGTTATCAGGAAACTCTTTGAAAACTGTGGGCAGGACTGTGGCTAGGCTAGAAAAAATGAAGACATAATGCGCACCTATATTTATTTTACAAATCATCAGACATCCTGCTCCATGTAAAATGTGCAATATCAGTCTAATGTCTCTGTTTTCCAACAACAAAATACATGAAGGGTCAACAGCTGAACTTGTACCAGTAAATTATGAGCTCATCCGCAGTGACACAACAAAGTCTTGTTTTACATAGGAAACATTCTGCAAGCACTGTGATAGAGCAGTTACAGACAAAATGATTCAGCTGAAATATTCTTTAAGACTCTGACTCAGGCATAAAACCATCAGTAGCTTGCTGATAAAATGCTCCATCTCTGTGGAGTCTTATCTTCAAAGCACCCTCACACAAACAGGCCAAATATAGATTATAACCATAAAAGGACTGGGCTTCATAAGTCTTCCTGCTTCAGTTTGAATGATATACTGTATACCTTTCCGATATTAATTTAACTGGGGGGTTTTCAGGCCGATAAACACTTTTGGCACTTTTATTAATAGTTTTGTTCGTTTTTAGTGCATAACATTCTTCGCATATTCATGCACCCACCAAATTACCAATTTCACTGATAACCTTGTGTAAATAACTGAATATTTTTGACCTCCTGAGACTATTTTAATTCTTCATGCACATAGTAGTAGGTGAAGAAATGACACTGACTTTCTGAATAATGCATATTTATTGTTGGACCTGTATGTCTATTTTTGTTTTCACGTTTGCCTAAAAGATCGAGGGGTTTTGTGAGTCCAAGCTAGACAAAACCACACAACTTGGCAGCCCATTTTCTCTTACCTCTATCATGTCAATGAGGTTGTAGAAATACTGCATGTTGTCAATGGTCAGCTTGTTGTCTTGATAAATCACCCGGTAGTGGATGACCTCTCCGGAGACACTAACACACAGCACATAGTCACCAGGATGGCGGATGGACTCTCGTACCAGGAACAGGCCGTCCTCGGCTGGCTGCAGCTTACACACCGCCTCTGGACCAGAGATCTTTCCATGAAACCAACTGATAAAAAACAGCGCAGGGTAAACCACATGTTAAAACATAACATTTCTGATACAATAGCCATTGGGGATCCCAGATTAGTTCCAAATATCTCATAAATCCTTGTTTTATTTTAATAGACAGGAGGTGAGTGTATAGAGGTGCAGTCACACTTAACAGCTAAATGTATCAAAAGAAGGAAGTTGCAGTGATTAATCTTGGTTTGTGCGTCAAACAGCACAATATGGTCAGAAGGTGTGTTTTGGTCAAAGCAACAGCTAAAGTTAGAAACTTGTGTGCCTCCTTGTCACAAGTCACACTGTCTGGCTTTCCGTGAGCAGCTGAAAGAAAAAAAAAGTGTAAAATTCAGAACAATAAATACAGACATACGGCATAAGGCTGAGGCTGGGGTCAATTCGTAGAGCCTCTCGTTCACGAACACTGGTTGAGGTTATGAGTCCTTCCTCTCCCGTGGTGTTGTGTCTGGCCTTGTAATATCCTTTCCTCTGCAAAAGAGCAATTCAAGTCTTGTGTTAAAGGTAATAAATAAATAAAAAACAAACAAGATGTACATTTATCAGTATGGGTGACTGATGCCTTGAAAGAAAAAAAAACACTCAGGTATCCTCCACCTACTACAAAAACTGTGTCTGTATATCTCCATTAAACATGTCATTACCGTGCTTGTGTCAACAATAGTGAGAATGTCTCCCTTGCAGTACGCTAGCTCTCCAGGTTTGGGTTTCTTGTGGTCCCCCTTGGCTACACACTGTGTACCGGCAGCCCAGGCCATCTGCTGGGGCAGAGAAGCGATGATGAAAAAAATTCCAGAGAAATTACCTTGAAAGAATTGCAAAACATTTAAACCAGAGTAACATATTTAGTCATCAATTATAATTAGAAACTTCATTCTTGCAGCTGAAAGGATACACTTCCCTCTAGACAGATGGCACATTTGCATGCTCACCTCCACTGACTAGTTTTATATTTAGTTGTGATTAAGACACTGAAGGCATACCAGGTGCCAACACATCTCTAGTTTGTCTAGAATTGGTGCCAAACTTCCCAGGAATTTACAAGGATGTCTTGACCTCCAGAATAAGAACATTCACCGTATACTAAACATTATCCTGTTTAATCAGTGTTGATGTTTATGCTGTACTCACTAGATCAAGGCTATTCTTCCTGTTGTACCAACAGCTGCTTAAACACTTCTGTTTGTGCTCACACACATTCCAAAAAAACACTTAGCCTGGTCTCAAGAGTCCATATTAAAATCGACTAACACAGACTATACTGATATCATACTGTAGTTTGGACAGCAGATATTTACAAAACACTGTACTATGAGCTGTAACTCTTGATATGAGCACGTAGAGTACTTGTCGATCAAACTAATGTAGTCTACAGTAAAAGAAAAACGAGGATGCAAAGTAGAAAGGTGTTAACAGCATCGTGGTCGGCTGCTCCTGCGGGATCAATTACAGGTAAAAGCCGAAAAATAAACTCCCAGGCAGTCGACATGAATGTTTCAGTACCTGCGTCTCTGTGGACAGATGCTGTCTTTTCTCCTGAGCACAGCTGGATCGGTAAACTGCACCACGGTGGGTTCAAATCCTCAGCAACTAGGATTCCTCTTCACCTCGTTCAGCGGTGACGGTTTCCGTCAAATAACTAAAGCAGGAGCTGGTCGTGTAGATTCAGGATGCAGCTGTGTCATGAGCACTGAAATCCGTCTGTCAATGCACTTCCTCAATATTCAGGAAAATGTACTTCACATTTAAGAGCCCACGCAAGACCCGCACGACTGTTTCTCCTGTGTCCGTCACGTCGACAGCCCCTCAGTTAAGATGGTTAAAGTGCTTAAGTAGTTAAAATTGAACAATAACAGGTAAAAAAAAAAGACACGGAGACAAAACGACTCAATAATGTTTAATATATCCCCTTAATTTCAGCAACACTACAAACACATTCAAATAATAGGACAGCAACGCTCACGCTTCACCTTTAAACAATACAAAATAGATTTTAACGTCCTTCAGAAATAAAATAAGCAACACCTGTATATGATGCTCTTGGTAAATCAAACCCACGGTAATTCTCACATCAACTTTTAAGCCAAAGAGTTGTGCAATTGTACCTTCCTGGCCCTATATCTCTGTGAAATAAGGTAAATATAAGGACACGAAAAAGACTCCTACATTTCACCCTTTAGTCAGTCCTCTGTAATACACAACATGATGCAGGCACAAGGAAGAACTAGAACCATTTGTTCATTACAGTAGATATCAAGTCCTTTTTTACTCTAAAGTGTATCTGACCTGCTAACCATACCCTGGAAGAAGAAAGATTACCAAGTATATTATTTAAATGATAAACTTATGGCTGCGTACAGTGACGTTGTCTTTCTCAGCATGCCACCCACTGTGCAACACATACTGATCTGTTTGGAGCCAGATCAACTTTCCAGTAAGAGCACTAAAGAAAACCTCTTGGGGGATGTTGCACAAAGCAGCCTTCTTTGTCTTTGAAGGTTTCTTATGAAACCTTGATGAGTTTTCAGGGGGTAGGTATTTCAGGGTAGCCTCGTTTACAATAGTGCGATTGCTGGGCCTTTGGCTGGATTTCAAAACGTTTGTCTAATCTCTCTCAACTTCTCAAAAATGTATCAGGACATGTTGACAACAGGAGCAAAGAGAACATGAGAAGTTCAGGAAGGACATTTGACATTCACTCAACACTAGAGTGTCATTTCAGGCACAACAAACATTACATTACTGTGTATGTACATCCTGAACACATCAGTCTGCTCTGATCTCACAGTTTCAAACCTTCATCAACAAAACCCACACCTTTATTTTCTATTTTACACAGACTGAAAAACACCTTTCAGCGTACAAATGTCATGCACCAACCTTTGTTTACTGAGTCCTGACTTGAGAGTCTGATGGTAAAACTGAAATGGTCTGAAAAGCTGAGCTCAGACTCGTCTTCACAGAGAAAACCTGGAAATAAAGTGTAAGGTGCTGATGATTTAATGGTACTCTAGGCTTTAATATCATAGAAAACAATACATTGGTAGGTGACAGGGGTGGCTCAACTGCTGTGAATAAAGGGAGCAATGGCCAGTAGTTAGTGTGCAGCTCTACTGAAATGGAATGATACAATCTGTAACTTAATTTTTTACTGAGCCAATTTTTGTTGCACGCTTTAGACGTTTTTACATCTGCAACAGATCGTTATATGTGAGACGGATTTGCAGTACAGATCCTCAAACTTCAGTCATTCTTCTCTTCCAACACATAATTCAAGGGTAGACGTGTAACCTGTAAAGTCGGTTATATTCATATGTGTATAGCTGCTTGTTAAAATTGTTTTCAAGATAAGAAAAGTTTAAAGTTGTGACATTCTACCAGTCTCTAAATTAGCAAGTGCCTTAGCTCCGCAAGCAGAGGTCAAGCACTTCCTGCTTCTTCCTTCTTGTCTTTTTTGCCTTCCCCTTCTCCCTCCCCGGTGTCGCTGACATCCCGCCGACGTTTGCGGTTGCGGGCACTGGCCTTGGACGCCGGCAGGGACTCCATGCCCAGAACTTTATGGATCTGACGAAAAGCAAGGAGCCGCAGTGCATGCTGCAAACAGAGGAAACAGGACAGAGCCGTTTGCTTGCAGAGCTGTCGTATCAGCCTCTATTGCAGAAAAATATCTTGTGGATTCAGAAGTACAACACCACAGGACCTGACAAGTATTTATATTAATATCTCACTTATAGTGGGACAAAATTAGAAATGTTAATATCTCACTTATAGTGGGACAAAATGAGAAATGTAGAGGCTGCAGTCAGTCTCTGGAAGAGAGAACTGTGATGCTACACAAAGATATTCAAACTGTCCACTGGAGATAACGTTACATAGTGCTCTCTCTCCCTTTCTTAGAAACAGACATGCTAGCGTTAGCTGTCTCTTGACATTTAATTTTTCCTCTCACTCTTTTTTGCTCACACTTCCTCTCTGGACTTCTCTCCTTTCTCCTGCAGCTGACCCCCATATTGGGGATGCCAGCTTCACCATAGCTAAGGTTATTTTTATCTACTGTAATTTGATGTGGACATCCAGATTTACCAAATATCAAACACATTTTCAATCCTTTTTCAGTTGTTAGGTTCACAAATGACCTCAGCATCAAGCTGTCTTTAAGCACATTAACTTATAACTGAAAACAACTGTGTCACAGGTGTCCTGTTTTATTATGGGTTACTAAAAATGTATCCAGCCAACCAGAATTAAGAATTTTCAGTGTTGATGGTATAAATGCTCTGTATGAGTACCTGTGCACTGGCAGTAATGTCCTCTCTAGCTTGAAGCATCATGCTTTCCAAAGCATCTGTTGGCTCTTTCTCACAGGGGTCCATCAACCCTGGTCCATCTGAGTAAAGGGAGGAGAAATCAAGTAAAAAGCCAGAACTGTGACAGAAAACATTTCTAAAACAGAAGTTTGACATAAGCTCATTCTGTAGCATCACAGATTAAAAAATGTCCTCCAAATAAAAAATACGAGACAACAAAGCTTTCTCTGGGAAGTGACAGAAGCCCTGTATGAGCATCTGGCATTCATCAAATGTTGTGCTGATGGGTTTTCTAGCCAAGTGAGCTACCTTTTAACTGGGCTGGAAAGAGTTGTTTTGAATGGGCTGTGTTACATTAGGCTACATTTCGAAACATTTGGGCAGTTTCCTCTCATTCAAGTAACATGATGACATACAGTGGGTACGGAAAGTTTTCAGACCACCTTAAATTTTTCACTCTTTGTTATATTGCAGCCATATGCTAAAATCATTTAAGTTCATTTTTTTCCTCATTAATGTACACACAGCACCCCATATTGACAGAAAAACAGAATATTTGACATTTTTGCAGATTTATTAATAAAAGAAAAACTGAAATATCACATGGTCATAAGTATTCAGACCCTTTGCTCAGTATTTAGTAGAAACACCCTTTTGAGCTAATACAGCCATGAGTCTTTTTGGGAATGATGCAACAAGTTTTTCACACCTGCATTTGGGGATCCTCTGCCATTCCTCCTTGCAGATCCTCTCCAGTTCTGTCAGGTTGGATGGTAAACGTTGGTGGACAGCCATTTTCAGGTCTCTCCAGAGATGCTCAATTGGGTTTAAGTCAGGGCTCTGGCTGGGCCATTCAAGAACAGTCACAGAGTTGTTGTAAAGCCACTCCTTCATTATTTTAGCTGTGTGCTTAGGGTCATTGTCTTGTTGGAAGGTGAACCTTCGGCCCAGTCTGAGGTCCTGAGCACTCTGGAGAAGGTGTTCGTCCAGGATATCCCTGTACTTGGCCGCATTCACCCTTCCCTCCATTGCAACCAGTCGTCCTGTCCCTGCAGCTGAAAAACACCCCCATAGCATGATGCTGCCACCACCATGCTTCACTGTTGGGACTGTATTGGACAGGTGATGAGCAGTGCCTGGTTTTCTCCACACATACCGCTTAGAATTAAGGCCAAAAAGTTCTATCTTGGTCTCATCAGACCAGAGAATCTTATTTCTCACCATCTTGGAGTCCTTCAGGTGTTTTTTAGCAAACTCCAGGC